AATGGAACGATTGTGAAATGTCTTCGTTTCAAGCTCGATTTAGAAGCTACAAAAGTGACATTAACGAGATGAAATGAAAGAGTTATCATAATGAGTTAAAATGTTTATAATTATCAAAAGAATTTTAATTGTTTCTATGTGTATGGAAGAATGCTTATATGTGTGCAAAGATAAACAATGTTGGATCATAATTATCTCAATCATGGATTAATGTTTGTTTTGGAATTTTGCACAATGATCACGAGTCGGTTCTGATAAAATTTGTTTACAATGTTGCATTCATAAATTTCACCGCATTAATTTTCTCATCTCTCAGAAACAATGTTCTTTTCATTAAAATTCTGGGAAGTTTAATTATTCATTCTTTTTGAGGAATGTTTCACATACAGAAATAATTTTGTCTCATAATGCTACGTAACAATGTTTTATTCCACTAAAAAGCCTAAAGCATTCCGTGTTGTTTCTCTAAACCACAAAACTATCTATTTGTTTGATGAAAAATCATGAAACATTTCTTATAAAACTTTTCAATTGTTAGTGATAAGAGGAGACAAACTTGTTAATAAATCATCACATGTCATCACAATGTTCCGAGATCGTTTAAAGTCAGATTTATGCTCAATCATTTTACTTCCGATAATATTTTTTTCTTTGAATTCTTTAAATTAAATCTCTACGAGCACTTTTATCTGCTTCATACACTTGCTAGTTTTTCTTGTTATGGTTACTAAATAATTAGATGTTTATTGTTTACCTATAAACAACTTAAAATTAATTATAAAAGTGTTTCCGATTTCTTGTATTTATTTTTAAGCTTCATCCATACCCCTTAGAAATACATACGTGAAGTTAGCTGTTAATGTCGAAATTCTCATATCCTTGGGAAACAATAAACATTTTGCTTTTCGATCATTATTGATTCTAAATAGTGATTGACAAAATATTAATTGGAAATAAAGCTCAATGGTAATATCGCGTAAGCCGCAACGCATTCATTTAGAATCAGAAACATATTTAGATATTTTTGTTTACTTCAGTTACACATTTTGAAGAGAGATTTGAAAAACAAGAACTAACTTCACACAATGAAATCGCAAGGGGTATGAATGACACAAATTCTTCTCAATTTCGGAATTTCAGTGACATTCAAAATAATTCTAAATTATTATCAAGTACTCGATAAGATCTCAGTCAGTTAATTATAGTAACAATATGCATAAGAATGAGACGCGTACAGGATTAAATACAAAAAGTTAAAATTAAAAACCTATGTAAACGAAATCTGAGAACGAAAGTAAATTTTTTGGTGCATTAATCACTACAAAGTTCTGCCCTGAATTCTACTGCCGCTGTGTTGACAAGTGAATATTAAAAACAAGTGTCTTTTATTGTATGATAGCTTGAGCAATGCTGGAAATGATCTCAGATTTACCATACTAAATTTAGAACACAATTAGAATGTTAACAGAAGTTTATAGGCTTGAAGATGGGAAATTTGTGGTTTCAAGTGGCATAAATATTAAAAAGAAAAGACAACATTTTAACAAGCTTGAAGCTTAGTCATGTTCAGAGTGTAAATCCTTGATCTAATCAATTACAATCCAGCATTGTTTATCTTTGTGTTTGCTCGTGACTATACATAGAAATAATAATAATTCTTTTGATAATTATAAACATTTTAACTCATTATGATAACTCTTTCATTTCATCTCGTTAATGTCACTTTTGTAGCTTCTAAATCGAGCTTGAAACGAAGACATTTCACAATCGTTCCATTAAAACAGTTTCAACTTTTATCGGATGGTCTTCAATCAAATTTTCAAATATTTCCAGACACATCAAGCAATTACAAATCCTAGATGGGAAAACTACTATCAAAAATATTCGGCAACAAAGAGATGAGAATCTTGATGCTAGGACTTGATGCTGCTGGAAAAACAAGTAAATAATGAATAACATTTCATGATCATAAAAACTCTAATTAATTAATTATTATCACGATTTTGTTTCAGCAATTTTATACAAACTAAAGTTAGGACAGTCTGTAACAACAATTCCAACAGTAGGATTCAATGTTGAGACGGTTACATATAAAAATGTAAAATTCAATGTATGGGACGTTGGGGGACAAGACAAAATCAGGCCACTTTGGCGGCATTACTACACAGGTTTGTTGATTCGTTTTTGAAAGATAGTTGAAAGGAATTTTCTTTAAAATCTTTAAATCATCCAAAATAGGTACACAAGGTCTCATTTTTGTTGTTGATTGTGCCGATAGAGATAGAATTGATGAAGCACGACAAGAACTGCATCGAATTATAAACGACAGGGAGATGCGTGATGCAATCATCCTAATATTTGCCAATAAACAAGATTTACCTGATGGTAAGAACATCACTGAACACATTCAATCTCATTAAGAAAATTAATTAATTTATGACATTTCAGAAATGAAGCCACACGAGATTCAAGAGAAACTAGGTTTAACTCGAATCCGAGACCGAAATTGGTACGTGCAACCTTCATGTGCTGCAAACGGCGATGGCTTGTTCGAGGGTCTCACTTGGCTAACATCTAATCACAAATTATGAGAATAGATCTAATTTCTTCGTCGTTATTAAAGATTATTATTATTACTACTATTATAAATTTAAATATCCTACTAAGTGAAGTCCTATGAAAAGAAACGTTTTGCTTCGTTCAACAATAAATTTGTCAAATTTTATTTTAAATTCGAAACTTTATTTAAGATTTCTTTCGCAAATGTTTAAAAAAGAGAGAAAATCTAAGCACAACATAAATAAATTACTCTAAATTAAAATAATGATGATGATGATGATTAATGATTGATGATTGTTAAGCCTCATGTTATGCATTAAGAGACGATCAATTGAAATTAAACGAAAACTTAAAGTTCGAACAAGAACAAATCGATAGCTAACAACATGCACATACATAAATTCATATTAACGACAACATATTTATGCTAAAAATCAATTTTAGACAGAAACAAATTTAAAGAGTGAGTGAGATAGAGAGAACTACTAATTTGCATGTTGTACATAAATTAATCATTTAGTGAAAAACGAAAAGGAAGAAGAAGAAGAAGTTAATTTTGTAATCAACTTTCAGCAGATACGAAGCTTCTTATCAGTTAGCAATTTAATTACACACTTCAATGAATCACATCAGCAACAACAAAAAAAAACGATTCTCGTTATCTTTGCACTCAATTAGAAGAATCAAAGTCAGTTCCCTCCTTGCCCCAACTCCATCCAAGGTTCGATCAACGATCGACTATCTCACTCTCTCGACCATTGTTGGCAACAAACTTCCATTAGTCGATCACAAGAAATAATCTCGAAAATATTCAAGTTTGAGCAAGGAGTGAACGAATAATCAGAAATGACTTTGAAATTCTTAGGTTCGCCAAAAATATTAATTAGATTAAATAATTGAGAAAAGTCTGGAAAGCAAAATCAATTCACGACCTAAATTAAACTTAATTAAAGCGACTTCATTTCATTTAGCGACTATCGACATTCCATTTCCACCAAATTTTTGCCTAAAGAACTTTCGATTATTATTTTCTATTTAGAATGAATAAATTTATCGTTTTATTATTCCAGCCATAATACATTTGAGAATTCTATCAGGAAACGCGAACGCCTAGGGTGTCATTGAATAAATTGCTTAACGATTTTTCTCTTTCCAGTAAAAGGAAAAAAATATTTTCAGTTTCATACTTAATTAAGCTAATCAAACAGTTTATTTTGTAATAAAATAAATTTCAGCCTTCACCATAAATAAAAAAGAAATATTTTGAATCGTCAAAAGGAAAAGTAATAAAATGTATTGTTCACATATGAAAAGAAGTCTTTCTTAATACGAAATGCTTTTATGTTTTGATTTTCCGCTCTTGACATTTGCGATTCCATTTTATTCTCTTCTATGAAACCCTCGGGGTTTGTCTTATATTAAACGATTTCTTTATATTTCTCGCTTTAATTTCTTTGGATTGCTGAATTTTTATCTTTCCAGTGTCATCACAACGCGTCTATGAGGTTTCTTTTTATTTTCAACAATCTGACTGCATTGGAAAGTTTGACAAAAAGTCAATTGGATTGTAATAAAAGTTGAAGGCATCGAAGAAAATTCTAGGAAATATTTCATGTCGTTGAATTATTCACAACTCAATAAATTGCAATATCGACTGGAAGATATAAAAATTTTATGTGATAAATGTGACTTTATGCAAACACAATCAATATGGGGGTGAACTGTGGAAAATATTTTCAAAGTTCACGTTCAAAACAAATCAGTTGCCTTAGAAACGAACATAAAACATTTTTCACTCAAATTGTTTATAAAAGTTTTCTTTCATTGAAGTGAATAGTGAAATGAAAATTAGCGTTTAACTTTTCTAATTCTAATTAAAAAATGGATCATTTTCGTTTTGAGTCACCTTATTGTGACTCTTTTAAGATCAGTAGTGAACACAGAGGTAAGTTTTACAATAATAATTAAGAAATTGAATTTTATACATAAATTAATATCTCAGGTCTCATAATGCAACATTTGATTGTAAGAAAACTAACAAGACGAGAATTAGAAGATAAATATTTACGTCTTATTGATGAAAATTATGAATTGAAGCAAGAAAAAAATATGCAAAAGGATAAAATAAAAATTTTAACAACGAAAGTTCTTCGTCTTTCAAAGGATAACAGCAGACATAAGTCACGAGAATTATTGTTCTTTGACAATGTCAAAGAAGTTCAGTGAGTGATTAAACTAATTGTTAAAATATATTTTTAATTATATTGTGAAAATATTTTTCATTATTGATCAGTGAGAAAAAGAAAATTTTTAACATGACTCGTCCCGCTTCGTCATCTGCAATTCCTTCCGATACTATGAGAATTTCCACACCATTTGTGTTCACACATAGAAGGTGAATATTTAAATCAACATTCTCATGTTTAATCAATAAAATTTTCATTTCTTTAGTGACTTGACGAGTGATCGTAACATTCAAAGAGCTTTGGTAAAATTTTCAGAGCATTGTGTTGCAATTTTCTTAACATTTTCAATAATTACAGAAAGATTTTCCTGAAATACCATCAAAAGAGTGTAGTGAAGGGTTTATAAAATTCTCGAACAACTCAGCAAGAATTCAAGAGATTGAACATTCAGAGAAAGCGACACAAATTGAACCAGAAGCAGATGAACCAAAACGACATGAAAATGTTACTCAAAATGATGGAAATCACATTAAAATTTATGCAGAAATTGCTGAACTTCATGAGAAGATCAAAGAGTTGAATGAAAAATTGAAGAACGTCGTTGAAATTGATGTAGTGACACGAAAGATGAAAGAATGTCAAGCTGAACATGGTGAATAATTTTAAATAAATAATTTAAGAAGTTTTTAATTAATTTTTATTTGCAGGAAAACTTCTCAACACTCTCGATGAGGAACGAAATAAAATTAAAGTTCTAGAAGATCGTTCAAATGAAGTGAAAGCTTTACAGAAAGTCATTGAAGATTTCAAGCAAGAATTGATTCGCATCAAAAGAGAAAACGTTGAATTATCAACTCAATGCGAGAATCACGCAGCTCTGAATAATGAAGTGTCACTTTGTAAACAGCATATGAATGAACTTAAGCAATTATTAGAAGTGAAAGAGAAAAGCCTACAGAATGAACAAGCTGGTAGAATGTCAATTGAACATTCACAAGAAGAATTGTTGAAGAAAATGAAAGAAGTACAAAGAGAAAATGACGAGTTTGCTGTTAGACTTGAAGGTTTGAAAACAGAAAACGAAGATTTCCTACGAAGACATAAGCAACTTGAAAGTCGAATACAATTTCTAGAAGGCCACAGCACAGAACAACAGAAAAAGACTTTCTACTCAATTCAATCAACAAGTGCTGACTCAACAATTCTTAAGTCTGACAAAACAACTTCCACGTTACCAAGTTCACACGTCAAACGAGCAACAACCTCAAAGGAAATTAAATTGGAAACAAATGAAGAGAAAGAAAATTTTAACGATTCACATGACCAAATTAATATGTCAACATCTTCTGCTATTGCTTTCGCTGATACTTTCTCGAGATCAGGTAAACATCTCTTGTCATTCTCACTTTATTCTTAATTCTTTGACTTCTTTTCCTAAATAGTTTCAAAAGATGACAAAAGCATTGACGATCCATTGGACACGAGAACATTTTCAATTGAGCAAGAAAGTGATCCCGAAGGTATAAGTGAACTGCTAGAAGACAATGAAATTGAGTTAGATCGATAAATTATTTAGTCAAATTTTCTAAGAATAATGAAATAAATCATGAAATTTGAAAATAGAAATAAAATAGAGAATAATTGAACAGAAGTTTGCTTTCTTATTGTTTCACATTTCTTTTGTACAACGTAATGATCAACCTTGTTTGTAATCACATGATGTCGATATAGCGTGAAAGACCTTTGTAACGGGTCGAAGAGTCATTATCAGAATGTCTCATCAATATGAGAATATTCTAACGATTCCAAATTTCCCATAAATCATCCCGAGATGACAAACGACACAATTTTATGATCGAAGTCGTAAATCAATGTCCAATGATTTGGACATTATAAACTTTTTAAAATCATCATTATACTCTTAAAAACACAGCCACTTATGTAGCGATTGTTGCATAACCATAAGGAAACACTTATGCAACAACAAAGAAGAACATGAATAATATGAAAAACAATTAAGAAAAGGATTTGATAAATATCAATTCCAAGAAAATTAATAAATGCTCTAAAAGAAAATTCTAAAGAGCTATTAAATTTT